CAATTCCCAGCAACCACATGGTGGCTCACAACCATCTGTAATGGGGTCTGGTGCCCTCTTCTGACCTGCAGACATACACACAGACATAATATTGTATACATAATAAATAAATAAATATTTAAAAAAAAAAAGATCAGTGGAAGCACAGAAAAGAAGTGTTCATCTGGTCTTAGCAATCTGTGTGAGCTATGAAGGCCAGTGGGCTGCATGGCCACCTGTCTCAAGTCAGAAGGGAAACATAGAAAAGGGAGAAGGAGAGGAAAGAAATGAGAGCAAGAAAGAAGAAAAGGAAGAGAGAGGAGAGGAGAGAAGAGAAGAGGAGAGAAGACATGGACAGTCATTTAAACTTCACAAACACTTCTGTGTTATTCCAGTAGGAAGTCAGTCCCTCTGCTCAGTCATCCTCACCCCAAGTCAAAGAAGTTGGAACTGAGCCCAGAAGTTTCAACTGGACACAGCCTCATGCTCTGTGTCCAATTATTTTTGCAGTGCTGGGAGTGAATCCAGAACCTTCTTCAAACTGGGTAAACATTCTGCCATCCAGTTACACCCCAGCTTCTTTGCTATTGTTTGCTCATATTAGAAAGATGGGGTCTCTCTTTGCAGAGACTGACCTTGAATTCCTGGGATCAAACAAGCCTCCTGCCTCAGCCTGCTAGGACCCGAGGTTCCTCCTGTACAACACCAAAGTCAGCTCTCAGCATCTTTCCTTTGCATCCATGGGAGCCCTGGGCAGCTGAGATGCAAATCAGAGAATCTGGTGCCCTGTTCCTGCAGTTCCCTGCACTTAGAAGGCTGACCAGGGGGTTGACTTGAGCCAGAGGATCCAGGTCAGCCTGGTCATCAGAGCAAAACCTGTTCACACAAAACAAGGAAAAGGAGAGAGAGGGAAAAGAAAAGCCAGGAGGAGCCAGGAGAGGAGGAAGTAGACAAAGGGATGAGAGAGAGGAGGGAGAAAATACAGGGAGAAAGGGCTCCTCTGTGGGTGCCCAGCATCTACCCAATGGGTTTCTGATCCTACTGCACGTACTGGCTTTGTGGGAGCCTAGGCAGTTTGGATGCTCAACTTACTTGACCTGGATGGAGGTGGGGGTTCCTTGGACTTCCCACAGGACAGGGAACCCTGATTGCTTTTCGGGCTGAGGGGGGGGGGGGCTTAATTGGGGGAGGGGGAGGGAAATGGGAGGCGGTGGCGGGGAAGAGACAGAAATCTTTAATAAATAAATAAGTTAAAAAAAAAAAAGAGTGTGGGGCAGAGCAGGGAGTGTGTGGGTTAGGAAGGAGAGTGAGAAGCTGGGACCCAGAGCAAGGTGGAGGAGTGGGCACTGCTCAGGCTGCTCTGAGCAACTGCCTTCTCTGCACAAAGCTTTGGGACCCTAATTCTTTCTTAAACACACATCTTTGAAGACAAAGAAAATGATCAAGAAGCACCACATAGGGTGATGAGGATTTCCTACAGGCAGTGGAAGCCTATTGCTATCTCCCCAACCTCGGGCGCCCCCTGCCTGCCTTGCTCTGCAGTGAACCACCCTAGTCAGCCAAAGAGGGCCACCCCAAGGGCGTGTCCCAGACACAGCAGGTATTTAAGTGCTGCTTGTTGCAGGTCCAACACACTTCTGATTCTGACAGACTCAGGAAGGAATCACCATGGTGCTCTCTGGGGATGACAAGAGCAACATCAAGACTGCCTGGGGCAAGATTGGCGGCCATGCTGGTGAATATGGCGCCGAGGCCCTAGAGAGGTGAGACCTCTGCTCTGTAAGGGCCATGGAATCCAAAGCAGACAGGGTGCACAGAGGACAGCCCTTAACTGTGCTTTCCTGTGACCTCAACTCCTCCCCCCACCTTCTTCCCACAGGATGTTCGTGGCATACCCCACCACCAAGACCTACTTCCCTCACTTTGATGTGAGCCACGGCTCTGCCCAGGTCAAGGCCCACGGCAAGAAAGTCGCTGATGCCCTGACCACCGCAGTTGGACACCTGGATGACCTGCCCGGTGCCCTGTCTGCTCTGAGTGACCTGCACGCCCACAAGCTGCGTGTGGACCCTGTCAACTTCAAGGTATGGGCTGGGGCTGAATGGTGGCAGCAATAGGGGAGCGGCGGCTGATAGGACAGCATCTGGGACAAGCAAGGAGGTTATGGGGCCCCTCATGACAAGGGGACTAGGTGTCTACTCCATGGTCTGAAACTTCCTGTCTCCACAGCTCCTGAGCCACTGCCTGCTGGTGACCCTGGCCAACCACATTCCTGCCGACTTCACCCCTGCAGTGCACGCCTCTCTGGACAAATTCCTTGCCTCTGTGAGCACCGTGCTGACCTCCAAGTACCGTTAAACTGGAGCTTCAGGGCGTCTCCTGCCAGGCTTGCCTTCTGGACAGGCAGTCTCCCCTCCCTTGCACCTGTACCTCTTGGTCTTTGAATAAAGCCTAAGTAGGAAGAAGCCTGTGTGCCTGGGTTGTCTGCATCTGCACAGGTGCCCGACTGACATGGGGAAGCCTGGGGGAGGTCATATGCCCAGCCTGGGACTCAGGTCCCCTGTGCTGAGGCAGAATGCCAGACTAGACTAGGGAGGAAAAAGAAGGAGAAGTGGAGGGAAGAGGGGCAAGCAGAGTCTCCTGCCCAGGGTCTCTGGACAACCTCTTGTTCTGCAGTCCCTGGCTGGGTTACTCTTACCCTGGGTTTCCCACCGGGTTCAACATGAATTTGCTGGACTACGATGTCCTTCCTACTGCTACCTTTCATTACACACACAGACACACAGACACACACACACAGACACACACACACACACACACACACACGACCAGAATTTCCAGGACTCCCCATCAGGTGACTGCTCCAGTCCTCCCTTTTTTCAGAGTGATATTGAATCCTCATTCACCCACCCCTTAGACTCCCTTGAAGACCAGAAACAAGAATGAAGCTGGGGGGATGAATGGTGCCAATGCAGACACCAGACAAGTCTGGGTAGGTGCCACACCTCATGCCCACGCTTTGGACAGTCATGTCTGAGGACCATAAAGAGGTGAAAACTTAATCACTGGGACAGGCTTGGCACTCATTTCCCAGCCCCGCCCTGACGCCCCTCTCCACAGTAGAGACAAGGTTCAGAGGCAATGGAGCACAAGCGAGTGTGTCCACACACACAAGCCTTCTCCTACAGAGCAGGCTCTGAGCCTGGAGCAGCAGCAGGCTTGGCAGCAGTCCATCCAAGCCCTCTGCTGACAGCTCTGGCTTTTCTCTCCGAATCAAGAAATCATGTTTTAGGAATTCCTATCTCAGGCCCTCTCAGGTAATGATGTCCTTAATATCCCTTGTACATCAGGGTGGGCCCTACTAGACAACAGCTAAAAATGGAGCACCCTCCCACAACCGTGATGGTAGGCAACAGGTGGCCTACATCCAAAAATGTCTGCTCTCCTTTTCTCCATTGCTTGTTTCCTCCTATCCTTCCTTCGGTTTCTTTTTTCTCTTTTTAGGGCTTCATGTAGCCCAGGCTGGACTAAAATACCTTATGTAGCCACGGATGACCTTGAGCTCCTGATCCTCTTGCTTCTAACTCCTGAGTGCTGAGATTTAAAATGTGTGCCTTCATGTCCAGTCTGTGCAGTGCTTAGGAACTGTACTCAGGGCTGGATAAGTTCATATATATATATATATGTGTGTGTGTGTGTGTGTGTGTGTGTGTGTGATACTATATACACACATTCATGCACAAATGTATACATACATGCATGCATATGCACGTATTGCACAAACATTCTATCAACAGAGCTATGTCTGTACCTCACAATAAAATATTCTTCAGCCATGGACACCAAAGAGTAAATTTTGTATATTATGTGAGTGAGCTTAAAAAAAAATGTTGAGCAGAAGAAGCAATGGAGCAAAGACCACACAGCACATGATTTTATGTTTGTAAAATATCAAAGTGAGCAAATCTATAGGGACAGCAAGCACCCTCCCGGTTGGCAGGGGCTTTAGGAAGGGTTGGATAACTAATGCTAGGGGGCTGGAGGCTCTATTTAGGTGAGGAAAAATTCAGGAAATGGGTATAAGGGATGACTGCATAACATTGGAAATGACATAAGATCAGTGACTTGTACACATCAAAGACAGCAGAATACACGGGGCTTTGTGGCACGTGCCTGCAATCCCAGAACTTGGGAGGTAGAGCATATCCACACACAGACACACACATTTAGTGTAGACTGACACAGAGCACCAAGTGAGTGAGCCACTACCCTTGCTATCATCATTGACACAGTATAGGCATCCATAAAGCTATTGTCCCCAAAGGAACTTGTCCTGGGATCCAGGCATATATTACTTCTCATCCACTTTATTATTGTAACTCTAAGAAGAACACATTTTTAAATTTTAATAAATTTGGAATTTATTAAAAGGGATTGCATTGGGGGGGAAGGGAGTGTAGAGCCAGGATCTCATTATGTAGTTCAGGCTTGTCTGAAATGCCTATGTAGACCGGGATGGTCTTGAACTCACAGAGATCTCTTTGCCTCTCACTCCTGGGTGCTGGGATTAACCTGTGCCTCTGCCACCACACCAGGTTTAAAGGGCTTTTTAAGGTAGATTTGAATTTGTTATATTCTATATTTATCCGCATGGGTGTTTTGACTGCATGAATGCAGCCCGCGGAGGACAGAAACAGGAATCATATCCGCTGGATCTGGAGTTATACAATTGTGACCTGCCCTGTAGGTGGTAGGTATGAAACCCAGGTCCTCTGGGAAAACAGCCAGTGCTCTCAACTGCTGAGACATCTCTCCAGCCCCTTTAAATATAGATTGAACTACGTGAAATTTAATAAAAAAGAGACGTGCTCCAGGGGAAAACTAAGGTAGACCCAAGTAAGGCTATGGGACTACTCGAGGGAAAGTTACGCCAAGAAGAAATCCTTTTCACTACTGAATGAGAAAGGGACGGACACCTATGAAATATCCTAAGGACTCGGGGGTCAGGTTAAATTGGCAGAGCCAAAATACACATAAATTGTAATGTGGTAGTACATATTAGATACATTTGTCCATAGAGCTTTGGGGCTCAGGGGGACAAAGGGCTGTAAGTCCAAGATAAACCCAGCACCTAGGCGAGCTCGAACGCAGCGGCGCCCCCTGGCGGCACCCTGGCTTTCCGGGAATCTGCCCACAGCCGGGAAGCCTGGAGAGAGGACACAGCTCAGTGAAGATGTCTCTGTCCCAGACTGAGCGCGCTCTGGTTCTCGCGCTATGGAAAAAGATGAGCACCAATGTTGGAATCTACACGACCGAGGCCTTGGAGAGGTAAAGGCCCCCGTCGGGCGCCCTCGGGCTCACCTTCCAATGGACGGCCGGGCAAAGGCGGGTTCTCTACACCTCCCGGCCAGGATGCACCCAACTCAGTTTTCCCACAGGACCTTCATGGCTTTCCCTGCCACCAAAACCTACTTCCCACACTTCGACCTGAGTCCCGGCTCTAGGCAGGTTAAAGCCCATGGCCAAAAGGTGGCTGATGCTCTGACTCTCGCTGCCCACCACCTGGACGACCTGCCTGGTTCTCTCTCTGCTCTCAGCGACCTGCATGCTCACAAGCTCCGCATAGACCCCGCCAACTTTCAGGTGGGTTCTGGGACGGAGCTGCTCTGGTGGCTGCTGCAGAGGAGGGTGCCTTCAAGTCTGGGTGTCAGGGAGAGATAAAAGCAAGGCGGGACGATTCTTTCTCTAATCCAGTTCTTCAGCCACTGTCTGCTGGTGACTCTTGCCCGACACTATCCTGGGGACTTCAGCCCAATGATGCACGCCTCCCTAGACAAGTTCCTGAGCCTTGTGACTTTGGCACTGGTCTCCAAATATCGCTGAGGATGAATCCTGGGATCCCAAAGCAAGGTTCCAAGAGGCTGGAATTTCAGCCAAGCTGGAGTCATAGACCTCCCGTGAAAGCGGGCAGGTCTTTGTATTGTGGTTTGGTTTTTAGTTTGTTTTGTTTTTGTTTTTTGATAGGATTAATGGTCTTGTGTAACCCAGCCTGGCCTCTCAGATCCATAATTTAGACTAGGCTGGTTTTGAACTCCCATCTCCAACCTACCCCTTGCCCTATGCCCACCCACCATGGATTACAAAGCATGCCTGCCTCACCACACCTGGCTCCACAGACTCTTTTTATTTTAATTTAACCCTTTGTCTGTGTTCTGTGTTGGAGGTGGGAAGAGGGGCCTCCTGCATGCAGAAGTGCTCTAAGCTGTAGAAAGTGTAGCTGCCAGAGAAAATACGGGCAGGTAGTGAATGAATTCAATCTTTAGAGCAGGAAGACAGGATCTGTGTAACACACTGCGAAGAGTAAAGAGCCGGGTGGTAGCAGGAAGACCACCTGCAGCTGGAGGGCCTGTACCTCCACATGTCCCCAAGCATCTGGGGAGCCTCAAGCCATCTCCACCTTGGAGCATCTATGGCCCCTACTCACAAATGCATGCCTTTAGCCTTGGCCGCATCAGTTGCAGAATGGTCACTTTTGTGTCTCAAAGGGGTGACAGGTACAAAGGTCACAGGTCAGCATAAAGGACAATGTTCAAAACAACCCTATTTCCCAGGCATCACCCTCCCCTGGGTGCTGTGGAAGAATCCTTTTCTACACTATGACTATGTACGATCGCCATTGCTAATAAAAAACTGACAGGCTGGTGACTGGGCAGGAAGTCAGGCTGGAAAGTCAAACTGAGAAAGCAGGGAAGAAGGAGGGCAGAGTGAGGAGACACCAGCCAGCTGCCCAGAAAGCAAGACATGCTAGAGGACAAGTAAAGCCACCAGCCACATGACAATACATAGATTAGTAGACATAGGTTAATCTAAATGTAAGAGTTAGCTAGTAACAACCTGAGCTATTGGCCGAGCATTTACAAGTAATATTAGTTTCTGTGTGGTAATTTGGAGACAGTGCAAGGACAGAGAGTGGCAGTCAGGACAGAAAAACTGTGCCCTCCACCTAGGCTTCTGGTCTGTTTCTAGACTCTGCTCAGGGCCAAGTCTTATTGCAAGGCAGTCACCTGCCTAGATACATACATGGAGATCACAGCTTTAGATGCTGGTCAATGAGGGTGAGCATGGATGCCCAGGATACACTGGGCACTGTGCCAGAGAAACTCACAGTCACGAACTCCTGCCTGCTCAGCCCAGCCATGCCCAGGGTGTGTGGGTATGTGGGTGTGTAATTTCGGGTATCAGGGAGGCTGTGGTTAAAGCATTCCGTGCAAGACTCAACTGCTTGGGATGAGATGATTGCACTGAAGCCTGTCATATAGAAAAGGAACGAGAATACCTCCAACCTGGCCTTCACTGGTTTTCTAAGTCTCTCAGTCTTTTAGTTCTTATTCGACATAAGGGAAACTCCTGAATTAAACAGAAGACACAGTGACTTCATCTCCCAAAGCACATGCAGGACACACGTTCCTTGACATGGGGGAAACACTGACAGTGGAACTACATCAAGAACAAACCATAGACACATAATGGTTAGTCATACCTGAGACCGCCTGGACCGGGTAGACGCAGGAGGCTGAGGAAGAACTGTTTCTAGAATGTCTGGGAAGGACCAAAACAGAAGCATTTGAACTGGCACCCATAGTGACACTTCCTAGAACAATACTGGCGCTCGCCATTCCACCAGGGGCCAGGAAGAAGAAAAGGGTCATATTTTCCTAACCTGGACATCTGTGTGTCGTGGATGTTGCAGCACACATGTGTGGGTTCGTGTGGGTCCTTGAAATGAAGACTCAGAGACACTTTGAGCCTTTGTGGCCTCAGGAGTCCCCGCCTCGCTGGACTGAAGCTTTCCCTCAACCCATGGCATTTTTATTTTTCCCTATATTTACACTTTATCTAGTAGATGTCCGTATGCTCAAAAAAATCTGAATGAAGATTCCAAAATTATAATGCTAAGTGCAAATACCTGATTCAGGAGGTAACACCATTTTGCCCATTGCCCCAACCAAGATTTTCATGGGCTTTGTATCCACGGGATACTCTACGACAAGATTCACATCTACAACACACAGGATGGATTAGGGCTGGGTGCTAACTCCATAGCTAGGCCAGGTATGGCCGAGTGTGTGGGTGGGTTATGACTAGCAGCAGACACACACACACACAGGTAGGGGCGGTAAAGGGGGACAGTGCTTGCTAACTCTCTGGTACCAGGCCAGCAGGAACCCTTCCATATCTTGTGCCATGGCTTTGGGCACTCTGACATGAAGCAGTATGAATATCATCGGCCCCTGGCTCGTGGTCCTTCAGGTTCACATGGAATTGATCCTGTCAGAAGGTTTCCTGGCCACCCAGGTCACAGGTAGCAAATCCTAGGACTTTCCATGCTGTGAAGAAACAAGATTGACCAGTACCAGCTAAACCTACAGCCACAGATCAAAACATTGGATTCGAGCTACTTCCTAACATGAGTCAGGGAAATCTTAGGTACAAAAACTCCTGGAGCTGTAAACACACTCACCTTTGAAACAGAAACACACACACACATACACACACACACACAAAGACAGGCCTGGGGATAGAACTCAGAAATGGGGTCCCTATCTTGCATAGGCAAAGGTTTGATCATTAGTAGCACAAAATAACAAACAAACAAAAAGCAAAGTAAAAACATAAAAATAGGCTGTTGGCTAGACATTTAGCTCAGGCATTACCTAGGCCAGGCTCACAACCACAAACTAGACTGCTGAAGACACAGAGACAGTGCCAGAAATACTCTCTGATTCGTGCCTTTTTCAGCTGGACAAGTCCAGGACCTGCCAATACACTGACCCCCAGAGAGTAGAGCAGCTTGTTGGGAGAGAGAGGCTAGGCTGGCCTCAGCAACGGGTATTTCTGGGAAATTCAAAGCACAGTATCTTTCCTTCTTGGTGCATCTCTTGAGCTGTGGGTCCCCAGCGCCGGTACCCAGGTGACTGTTGCCATTTTCTGACACTAAGGCTCTAGTGTGGTTTTTCCAGGGACATATAAATACAGAGTATCCATAGGAACTGGAATGGCACCAAGAGACTCCCCAAAAGATGGACACCCACACAGTTTAGTGAATAAAATACAATTAACTGAGACTCCTAACCAGCAGTGGGGAATTATACGACTATATTCATCTAAGTAAGTGTCTGAACTCATTTACACAGAGATACAGTTGTGTCTGTAGCACAAACGCACTTAGATAATCACAGAGTCAAAATGGCAGGAGAGGGCGTTGGAGAGATGGTTCAGCAGTGAAGAGCTTGGACAGCTGTTGCAGAGGACCTGGGTTCAGCTCCCAGAATTGAACATCAGCTGCTCAATAGCCACCTATAACTCCAGATTCAAAGGCACTGACCCCATGTCCCCTCAGAACTCCATAGGCTTTCACATGTGCACAGACCAACACTTAGACTGATACCTATTTCTTATAATTAGCTCTGGCTGGCCTGGAACTCACCATATAGACCAGGCTGGCTTCAAACTTAGAGACCCACCTGTCTCTGTTTTCCACCACTAGAATTAGAGGTGTGTGCCTCTATGCCCAGCTATATCTATAAATCGATAGATAGATAAATGGATTGATTGATAGATAGAGTTTTGTTTTGTTTTTTACTTGTATGGTGTTTTGTTTGTCTATTGCATATCATGTGCATGCAGTGTCCTTGGAGCACAGAAGAGGGGCTTGGATCTCCTGGAACTGGAGTTACAGATGGCTGTGAATTGCTATGTGAGTTCTGGATGTCAAACCCAGGTCCTGTGGAAAGCAGTCAATTCTCCTAAATGCTGAGCTATCTCTGTAACTCTGCCTATTACAAATTTTTAAATAGACAAACAAAAACAAAACGACAAAACTAAACAAAAAACATAGAACGATGTATGGTGGAATAAGTCTTTTAACCTCAGTGTTCTGGAGACTGAGGCAGGTGGATCTCTGCAAGTTCAAAACCAGCCTGTTCTTTTTTTTTTTAAATATTTATTTATTTACTTATTATGTATACAATATTCTGTCTGTATGTATTCCTGCAGGCCAGAAGAGGGCACCAGACCTCATTACAGATGGTTGTGAGCCACCATGTGGTTGCTGGGAATTGAACTCAGGACCTTTGGAAGAGCAGGCAACGCTCTTAACCTCTGAGCCATCTCTCCAGCCCCCAAAACCAGCCTGTTCTACATAGTGGGCACCAGGTCAGTGAGGACCCATGGTGAGGCCTTGCCAAATTCAAAGTAAGGGAAGAAACAAGCAAATAAGGCTGGAGTGATGGGTTCGCAACTATGAACATGTTCTGCTCCTACCCAGGACCCAGGCAGATTCTCAGTATCCACATCAGGAAGCTCTCGAGAACCTGAAAGCTCAGTTGGAATGAGATTTGATAGCTTGGGTAGATGGCTCAGTGGATAAGAGCACTGGCTGCTCTTCCAAAGGATGTGGGATCAATTCCCAGACCCACATGGCAGCTCACAACTGTCTGGAACTCCAGTTCTGGGGGATGCAACATCCTCATGCAGGAATACATGCAAGCAAAAAGATCTGATACCTCTGGCTTCCATATGTTGTAGGGAGTGGGGGGGGGGGGGGGCTTTGTTCCATCCCGGCCACCCAGCTAGCTTACACATGAAATAATCACACAGAAACTACATTCATTTAAACACTGCCTGGCCTATTAGCTCTAACTTCTTATTGGCTAATTCTTACATCTTAATTTAACCCATTTCTGTTCATCTTTGTATCGCCACATGATTGTGGCTTACCAGCAAGATTCTAACCAGCGTCCTTCTCAGGCTGGACACCTATGGCATCTCCATGGCGGCTCTCTCACTCAGCTTTCTTCCTCCCAGAATTCAGTTCTGTCTTCTCTGCCTCCCTAAGTTCTGTCCTATCAGGCCAAGTAGTTTCTTTATTAATTAAATGAAAGCAACACACAAACAGAAGAACCTCCTACACCATTACCCCTTTTCTGTTTAAAAATGAAAGGAAGGCTTTAACTTTAACAAGTAAAATTACATGTAAGAAAACAGTTATCAAGCAAGAATTACAGTTACATTATTTATATCTATTTTATCTTTTAAAA